ATTCATTCAGTGAACGCTGCATTCTGTTGTCTTTGCAAAAGATGTCCCATTTATGTTCTTCACTATTGCCTTGCAGGAGCTGAAAGACTTTTTTAGGTCAGTTTGTAGTCAGCAGCAATGAGGAGTGCTCAGCAGACATCTGTCCTTCATATGCTCAGTAAGCAGCGAGGTGCAGGGCAGAGCCCCTGGTGCTGAGCGGGGCTGGCACTCCTGGGAAGGCTCTGTCAGTGCAGATCAGCCCTGTCAAAAGCAGCCCATTGTCAATCCAGGCAGGAGAATCTAACCTGAATTTAGCTTTTCACTGGTATCACACTGATCTCTACAATTTAAAAGTGGAGGAGGTTATGATAAGATTGATTTAACAGCCTTCACGTTATTCTTTAAAATGCAAACCCTATCTTCCTGCCTATAGCTATCTGTTCTGGAGGGTATTTTTGGTATCTTTGAGGCTTCTGAAGTGCCAGTACACATTGCCAGAAAACAGAGTTAAATCCTGAAATAATTGAATTTTGCAAGAATTGGTGACTTTTAAAAATGTAATTACTCTTATTATTTTTCTTCTCAGAGTTGTTAAGTATTTAAGATGTGCTATGCCATCTGACAACAAAAGCCAACTAATCCAACAGATGTTTAGAGAAATATTGGTAGAGAAATTTTAAAAAGAGAGAGCAGAGACTTTCTTTGCTTAACAGCAGAACTATTAATTTTCTGTGATTTAAAAGCAGTAAATAATCTTTTTGCAAGCAAGAAGGTGACAAATAGAAACTGGGAAGTGCTCAGGGAGGGATGATCATTTTGTACAAATCAGTTCCTTTGGCTCCACCTGCAGTACATGCAGTTCAGTGAGTGTTTTGCCAGAGCAGCTTCACTGTCAAAATATATTGTGTAAGCAGTAGATAAACAATAAACTGCACTGTCCTGTATTTGACATCATGGATAAGAGAGCCAGTCTTGGCCAAAAAGCAGGATTATCTCTATTTTCCTTTTCTTCACACCATCACATGTGTTGTTGTCAGCATTATCCATTTACCCTGCAAATAATTTGATTTTGGGCTGTAGTGTGCTTGGTCACAGATGCATGGAAGGAGGAAAATGGAAATTTTGCAAAATACTAATTTTTATCTATTCTGCATCTGAAAAATCTTGCCATGTAAAATGTTTTGAATGTATCACACTTGGTTGTTTTTTTTTTTCTTTAAATCTGGGAAAGTTGTTTTACCTGTCCAACAGGTTTTCCTTTTGTTTTTTCTTTACAGGAGAAATTACTATGGTGGAAACTGGGCCAGCTTTAGTTTTTCAGGATTATTATCTTGGATTAAAGAAAATCAGGTAAAAATTTCCCAAATTTTCTTTTAGGCCTCCTTACCATTGAATCTCTGTTGTTTGCATGATTTATTTCAAGACAGATCACCTCCCTGCTTTTGCTCTTTGGTGATCTGACAGATCAAAGAGGTTTGTGGTTCCCAGCTTTGCTGCTTGAGCCTCACCCATCTGGCCTGGCAGTGTGGGCTCTGCTGTGCTGCCTTGTCAGTCTGACTGAGGCCAGCCTGCTGCTCAGCCACACTTCTGCCTTCTTGAGCTTAAAGAGAAGCAGCTCCACCATTGTTTCAGTTCCTTTAGGATCATCTGCTCTTTTCCATTCCCTCTTGGATTATTTTCCTCTCTCTGTTTCAGCCCTTTTGTTTGTCTCGTTTGTATTCAGCTGATTCTTCCTTACAGGCAGAGAAGTGGGTGCTGGATCCTCCCATTGAAATGTCCTGGAACCAGGACAAAAAGATGAATGCTGATAGTGGATTTTTCAATGACCAAAGTTTATCTGATTCATGGCAGTCCCCTAGAGATCATCCAGGGAGGAGATTTATTCAGGAGCTGGATTAGCAGGGGCTGCTCTGTTATTTACAGAAATGCTCAGAGCCTGTGGGCTGCAGAAGATGGAAGTTCCTCAGCTCAGTCTCACCCTGCTTTTACACTGTGCTGCCTCCTGGCATCAGCAGGGCACTTGCTCAGTGCCACAGCTCCATGTTCTGTGAGTTGTTGTATGATTTAGGGATTCCTACACAGATTCATACAATCCCCCAGATCACCAGGGTTTTCCATATGGTTTCCATTCCAAGGGTTTTGTCACAGAATCTGGAACTACCCTGGCTGTGGCAAACCTGTCTTTTAGGAGATTGCATTCCAAGTTACATTCAGCTCTCTACTGAAGCCTTTATTTCATTTAACACTTTATTTCAGATTGATAGAGCCAGTGCTGTAGTGCAAATGTTGGCTTGGTGTGATAAAGTAATCAGCTCCAAGTGTTTTAACTCAAAAACATTAATAGAAAAAAACATTAGGACAGTTATCAGGGTTTATTTTTCCCTTCTATTATTAGATGGTACATATTATTTGTGTCTAGAGAGATTTATAGTTCAAGAACAGCTTGCACAGTACAATATGTAATTTCATACTTGTTCTTTTAAGCAAAAGGCAGATCTCAGTGATGAATGTGAGGACTGGAGAAAACTGATCCTTGAGGATGAAGAAGCAATTGCTCTTAGCAGCAAGGATAAAACTATTCAACATGTAGAAGATTTCTGTTTTGGAGAGTAAGTAGAAAAGTAGAAATTCATGAGCAATTTTGCATGCCCAGAGTAAATGATCATATTGTGCTTTGGTTTGAAGGGTTTCACCATGCTGCCATATTACAGTCTCAAAATGCAACCCTGGCCTCTGAAATGTTCTCATGTCCTTGTGCTTTGTTGAAATCAATTCACTGAAACAACCTGATCCTAAATGGCATCTCTGGGTGCAGTGTACTTTGTTGGCCAACTTTGTGAGTTTGTGATTTACTTCTGAGCAGAAAACACAAGTGTTGTGTTTAGATATTGGTAGTAGTAGGCAGCTGTGCACTGCCATCAATTAAATTTTTCCATTCTTAATTTGCCTAAAAGCTGCTGTTCTCATTATCAAAAATGAAACCCCTAAATCCATGTAAAATGAACCACATACAAAAGAACAACACCACAAATGGGCAGCAGTACTGTAACTGTGAAATGCTTGTGGTGAAATGATAAAGCAATATTTCCCTTTGTCCTTTTTATGTGCAATGAATTTAACTTACTGAAGTTAAATCCACTGAGTATAAATTTAACTAACTGAACTGTGTATTTATTTATTTATTATTTTTCTCTTCTGGATTTTTTACTGAACTGAACATTCTCCAGAATTCCTGAGAGGAAATTCTTTGAGATAGTTCTGTAAACTTAACCTTGAATCCCTTAGAAAGTACCATGGGTAGCTAAATGAAATGCTGACACATACTCATAAAGAAATACAGATTTCTGTCTGTAAACACCATAAGTAGGGGAAAAAAGGTGTGAATTACATAAATACAATGTGAAGGTCACAGACTGAGACTCTTCCAAGGTTCAGTGCTGCACAGTAATGGTGCTTGACTGGATTGCAGAGAAAATGCAATGCTTATTTTAAAGCAATAGCACTTGGATATTGTAATTGTCATCCTGTTGTCATAATAAAAAATGTTCAGAACCAGGATTAAATCAGATGGAAAGGTTTCGTAGTCTTTTAACTTTGTGTGTAATTTCTGAGTGATAGCTGGCTCCCAAATGAGTCCCCTGGCACTGAGATTTCACACTCAGTGAGATTATACTTGGGTAAAATTAAGCTTTTAAGCATTCAGCTTAGCTCAGTACAGTGCTGTCTGTCCTGGTCATCACCAAAAAAACCCCATTTCTCCCAAGGAACAAGGATAAATTAATAAACCTGGCAAAGAAAAAGTTCTCCAAAAGAACTTGAAACTTTCTGAGAGTCAATTACTGTGTTTCTGACAATTTACATGTTCTGCCTAGATTCTGTTGTTTTTGCTTAACTTTTTAACTCCTATGAAGTAACCATGAAACATTTATTTTGAAAGAATAAACAGCTGGGTAGCAGTATAATATACACAGTGCAAATCTGAAATGAATGGCCTCAGAACAAAGTGCATCCATCAAAGGGAAAGAATACTGTGTCTACAACAAGCTGGATTGAAAAAAGGCAAATGGCTGAAAAATAAATAGTGAACACCTGTGCTGAATAAATTAACCAGCTGGTTGGCAATTTTTCATTTGACCTATCTGAAGGGGTTGCTGTTACAAGGCATTAATAAGACACATTCATTTTAAGATATTCCTTTCTTAGTACCATTAATTGATGAATGGTGGAAGATAATATTCTAAATTTACACAACAATTTGTCTGCAGATGTATTATATTTTTCTGAATTAGGAGAAGAATTGTCTGTACAGAAGTTCAATTTGAGTCATTTTTATAGACAGTTCTTACATTATTCAGGGATATTTGGTCCTATAGGAAGGATGTCATGAATTTAGATTATATACAGTTTTTGGGCTCTCATTATAAAATCTGGAGCTGCAAATCATGGAGATTTACCTATTCTTTAATGGGCAGTGAATAGAGATTTAAAATATGTAAATATTTCTGTTACTGCTTTTCAGAGTGATATAGAAAATAGAGTGTATTATGATATGAATCCAAGTTTATTTTCATTTTAAAAAGTAATAATCAAGTATGTTTAAAATAAGATTAACTGTTCATTGAGATTGGGAGAAGTTAGAAAGAAAACCTTATTCTGAAATTTTGTTTTATAAAGTTTTATAAAGGATGAGTTAAATAAAAGCTTCATTTTAGTTACTGAATTACCGGTAAGAGCTTCTGCACTTTTCACAAACACTGTGTTCCAAAATCCTAAAAAAACCCCAAAATCCAAATAGAACCCCAAAATTTAATGGACTTTCATTTTTATTTGTAGCAGAGATTGCTTTTTTGAACAACATTTGACAAAGTACTTATCTCTCTTTGATATTTTATAGTTACTTAATGCTGGCAATCTGAAGCAAAAAGACATAATTAATGTACAGAAACAGCCTTCTCTCATTAGTGCTCCCTTAGAGCAGTTCCTGCATTTCCCAGGGCAATATTTTACCCAGTCATGAGCTAAGTGCTTCCTGGTGACTGTGCCCAAGCTGGGAGATCACTTCCAAACTTTTCCTGAGTCCATGTGAGCTCCACCAGTTCATAAATGAGGAGCAATCTTTAAAGGATCCCAGGTTTTTGTTCCTTTTTGAACAGAAATCCTGCTTCCATCTGCAGGTGTGTGAGGGAGCATTTTGGTGTTGGTGCTGAGTAATTCCTTGCTGTTCTGGGAATTTTAACCATCCTGTTAATTCTCTGTTTGCATGTCACCTTTAAAATCATAGTTCATTAGTTTCCAGGCAAGATTAAATAGTTTATTCAGTGCATTAATGGCTTGTGGTAGAAAGATAAAAAGATAGTTTGGAATTATTGCTGAACTCCTTTCACTTGCAGTGACACTGATTTGATTCATCTCAGTGGTAATGTAAACTAAACCAAGTTCAAAAGTCCTGCTTTCTCAGGGAGGTGTCCCTGAAGTTCAGCATAAAACAAGAAGATGAGATTGAAAGTGGAGGGCTGCTTTATGAGGGGAATTTTAAAGAAATGTTGTGTGTCCGGTTTTCGGCTGTTTGGAGGGCCTGGAAAGGCCC